TTTTTTTCGGATCAAGTTCGAAATAGCCGACTGGCGGCCATTTTGTTTTAAAGAATTCAGTTCTGGATCCGTATCCGAGACATGTCTGGATTGATCAAGTTCAAACTTCACACACACAAGGTACATCATGTCACAAATATGTATGTGCATTTGTTTCATGATCTCATTAACGATAGCCAAATGGGGGCCGCTTTAAGGCCGAAAATGCATTGAAATCGCACATTTTCACCATTCCGGACCCGTATCTCAGTTATGCATGGATGGATTTTGTTCAAATTTGGTACATACATTAAACATAATAGGACCTTGATGCACGTCTTTTTTTTCGGATCAAGTTCGAAATGGCCGACTGGCGGCCATTTTGTTAAAGAATTCAGTTCTGGATCCGTATCCAAGACATGTCTGGATTGATCAAGTTCAAACTTCACACACACATGGTACATCATGTCACAAATAGATATGTGCATTTGTTTCATGATCTGCTTAACAATAGCGGAATGATGGCCATTTTAAGGCCGAAAATGCATCAAAATCACGTATTTTCACAATTCCAGAACCGGATCTCAGTCATGCATGAATGGATTTTGTTCAGATTTAGCACAATGTGTTGTACATATGCAGGTGCATTTCGGTCGTGATCTGCTTTGAATGTATATGTCACTCAAATATGAACGGAACGGGGACGTGTCATTGACAATGACTTGTTTAATACTGTTTTGAGTTTAATGCAAATTGTGTTGATTAGATTGCTGTTATAATTTGGATCATTATTTTCCCATGATTTATCCATCTCCAGATAATGGCTCCACTCTTTGTTGATTTTTATTTTCAAGGATTTGGTGGAAGTTGTTTTCAAAAAGATGTCCTTAATTTAGTGTATCTCTGTGAAGCCTTGAACTTGCCTGAGGTGGCAGCATACTGGCAACAGGCAAGTATTGGATTACCATACTGTATTGATTGGGTTATAAAAATAACATGAGTAAACAGGCTGGGGTGGGGTCGTGGTGGATGAATCTAACTTGAGTGGGGTAACCAGAATGGGATGGGCTAACCAGAATGGAATGGGGTAACCAGAATGGAACCGAGTGAGCAGAATGGAATGGGGTAACCAAAATAGAATGGGGTATCCAAAATGAAATCGAGTTAGCAGAATAAAATTGGGTAACCAGAATAGTATGGGGTATCTAGAATAGTATGGGGTAACCAGAATGGAATGGGGTAATCAAAATAGAATGGGGTAAACAGAATGGAATGGGGTAAACAGAATAGTATGGGGTAAACAGAATGGAATGGGGTATCCAGAATAGTATGGGGTAAACAGAATGGAATGGGGTAACCAAAATCGAACGGGGTAAGCAGAATGGAATGGGGTAAACAGAATAGTATGGGGTAAACAGAATGAAATGAGGTATCCAGAATAGTATGGGGTAAACAGAATGGAATGGGGTATCCAGAATAGTATGGGGTAAACAGAATAGAATGGGGTATCCAGAATAGTATGGGGTAAACAGAATGGAATGGGGTAAACAAAATGAAATGGGGTAACCAAAATAGAATGGGGTATCCAGAATGAAATCGAGTGAGCAAATAGAATGAGGTAACCAGAATAGTATGGAGTATCCAGAATAAAATCGAGTGAGAAGAAAAGAATGGGGTAACCAAAATAGAATGTGGTATCCAGAATGAAATCGAGTGAGCAGAATAGAATGGGGTAACCAGAATAGTATGGGGTAAACAGAATATAATGGGGTATCCAGAATAGTATAGGTTAAACAGAATGGAATGGGGTAACCAAAATAGAATGGGGTAAACAGAATAGTATGGGGTAAACAGAATAGAATGGGGGGTATCCAGACTAGTATGGGGTAAACAGAATGGAATGGGGTATCCAGAATAGTATGAGGTAAACAAAATGGAATTGGGTAACCAAAATAGAATGGGGTATCCAGAATGAAATCGAGTGAGCAGAATAGAATGGGGTATCCAGAATAGTATGGGGTAAACAGAATAGAATGGGGTAACCAAAAAAGTGTGGGGTATCCAGAATAGTATGGGGTAAACAGAATGGAAAGGGGTAACCAAAATAGAATGGTGTAAACAGAATATTATGGGGTAAACAGAATGGAATGCGGTATCTAGAATAGTATGGGGTAAACAGAATAGAATGGGGTATTCAGAATAGTATGGGGTAAACAGAATGGAATGGGGTAAACAGAATGGAATGGGGTAAACAGAATGGAATGGGGTATTCAGAATAGTATGGGGTAAACAGAATAGAATTGGGTATCTAGAATAGTATGGGGTAAACAGAATGAAATCGAGTGAGCAGAATAGAATGGGGGTATCCAGAATAGTGTGGGGTAAACAGAATAGAATGGGGTATTAAGAATAGTATGGGGTAAACAGAATAGAATGGGGTATCCAGAATAGTATGGGGTAAACAGAATGGAAAGGGGTAACCAAAATAGAATGGGGTAAACAGAATGGAATGGGGTAAACAGAATATTATGGGGTAAACAGAATGGAATGGGGTATCCAGAATAGTGTGGGGTAAACAGAATGGAATGGGGTATCCAGAATAGTATGGGGTAAAGAGAATGGAATGGGGTATCCAGAATAGTATGGGGTAAACATAATGGAATGGGGTATTCAGAATAGTATGGGGTAAACAGAATAGAATTGGGTATCTAGAATAGTATGGGGTAAAGAGAATGGAATGGGGTATCCAGAATAGTATGGGGTAAACAGAATAGAATGGGGTAACCAAAAAAGTGTGGGGTATCCAGAATAGTATGGGGTAAACAGAATGGAATGGGGTATTCAGAATGAAATCGAGTGAGCAGAATAGAATGGGGTATCCAGAATAGTATGGGGTAAACAGAATAGAATGGGGTATCCAGAATAGTATGGGGTAAACAGAATGAAATGGTGGTAACCAAAATAGAATGGGGTAAACAGAATGGAATGGGGTAACCAGAATAGTATGGGGTATCCTGAATAGTATCGGGTAAACAGAATGGAATGGGGTATCCAGAATAGTATGGGGTAAAGAGAATGGAATGGGGTATCCAGAATAGTGTGGGGTAAACAGAATAGAATGGGGTAACCAAAAAAGTGTGGGGTATCCAGAATAGTATGGGGTAAACAGAATGGAATGGGGTTTCCAGAATGAAATCGAGTGAGCAGAATAGAATGGGGTAACCAGAATAGTGTGGGGTATCCAGAATAGTATGGGGTAAACAGAATAGAATGGGGTATCTAGAATAGTATGGGGTAAACAGAATGGAATGGGGTATCCAGAATTGTATGGGGTAAACAGATTGGAATGGGG